TGCCAATTGACCATGGTGTCCCCTGAGATGATGGTCCTGAGCCCTCTAGGCCCTGCAATTCATTGCCTTAAACTGTTGGTAATACCCAAGAAGTTTTCATCATTTTACTGCGGCGAAATTCTTTTCAGAACAAACGTAGGTGGCAGTCGGTGGAACAAAGCATAAACCTTCGTTGTCCACTACGAAAGCCACTTAAATTCTAAGTCAAGTCTTACAAATGAATCAAATGAAGTCTTCTGTTCTTCAGTCTCCCAGGCTAAGTGACCGGCACGCAATAGCCACATGGGGCTGGTGGCCACCATGCTGGACAGTGCTGTTCTGGGACATTGTCATCCACACAGAGAGTTCTACAAGATGGTGCCATGGTCACTGAGACCTCAGATGAGTGTCAGGGTTGGTGATGAGGGAACTGCAGGTACCCTAAAGAACCAGGTCAAGATGAAAAAAACTCTAAAAGATGACCACCATCTGAACTGATCTCCAGCTTGCACATCACAAGTGGATCATAGAATTTTCAAGCATAGCACTTACTCTTATTTCTCTGCTGAAGTCCAAAAGCTATGGCTCCTCGGCCAAACATTTGGCCCCCTGTTTGTTTTTGTCAATAAAGTTTTATTGGCACACAGCCACTCCCATTTGTTTAGATGTGCTGCAATAGCTGAGTCCACCAACAAAGCTGAGGGCATTTACTCTGTCTCTGGATAGGAAAAGGCTCGTTGTGGATTGAATTCTGTCCCTCCAAATATTTCTCCACTTGGTGGGGGCCCGATTCTCAGTGTTGTGTAGTCAGCCTCCATTGTGTGATCTGATGTGATTGCCTACGAGAGTGGTAAATCTATGATGGAGCCCTGATGTGGCGCTGTGGGTTAGTGCGCCAGACTGCAAAGTCAGCTTGAATGGCAAGGTCAGAGGTTCAAGCTCACCAGCTGTTCCTCAGAAACCCTATACAGGGTCACTATAGGTTGGAACTGACTTGAAGGCACTTAACAACAAACACCAGTGACATTAATGAGGCAGGATTCCACCTACCAGATTAGGTTGTATTTTGCATCCATCTCTTCTGAGATACAAAAGAAATTAGATAGACAAGCCGAGCTCAGAGGAACCTATGACCACTAAAAAAGAACAGTCAGGATTGGAGCGTGTCCTTTAGACCCGGGGTCCCTGTGCTGAGAATCTCCTAGACCCAGGGCAAGAATCATGCCAAGGCTCATGGAGATCTCCAAGGAACACCAGGTCCACAGATGTTGAAAGGAAACAAAGACCTTCCCCTGAAACTGACAGAAAGAGACAGCCTTCCCCTAGACTTTGACCTTCTCACCTCCTAAATTGTGAGAGAATGTGTGTTTGTTAAAATCACCCCCTTGTAATAGTTTAGTTATAGCAGCACCAGATAATTTAGACACTAGATAACTGAAAATATTTACCCTCTGATCCTTGATGGAGAAAGGTTGCTGACGATGACTACGACAACAAAGTTTAACACAACTTCAAACTACAGTGATTCATTAGAGATACCCCAGGCTCCTCTGCCCAGCACCTCCTGAGTATTTCCATCTCTGTCCTCTACTCACCAGTGAGCTCGACCAACACCAGAGTACCGTAGGTGGCCAGAGGGACACCGTGGTCCCCCAGCCTGGCATGTAGCCCTTGCTGCAAAATTTCCTCTTCCAAACCCAGGCTCAGCGTCCCAAGGGGTCGCAGGCGGAAATGCAGCCGGAACCGAACCAGGACACTGGCGTTCCCATCCCTGCAGGTGGGGAGAGACTCTTGAGAGGGGCTGCTCTCTGCTGGAATCATCCAGAATCTCCCAGGTCTGCCCCACCCCACAGGAGGTGCCCGCTCACCTGTAACTCAACACAGTGCAGCTCACGCAGCTTGCCTCCAGCTCTGTCTTCCAGAAGCTACTTAGAAACTGCAATGAGAAAGCAGTAAGTACCATGTGTGAACCGTGGTCCCCGCCAAGGGCTGCTGAGGCCTGTGTTTGAGGGAGCTCCACGGAAAATCATCTCCCTTCTTTCATGGTGGTGAAATAGACATCACCTAACACGTGCCATGTTAACCCTTTTTAAGGGTATAGGTGGATCTTGGAGACATTGCAAGTTTCATGGCAGAGAATGCCACCATCAATGTAATATCGCAATAAAGTGAGTCGTGTGGGTTTCGCGGTTCCCTGGTGCATATAAAAGCAATGTCCACACTCTGGTGTGAAAGAAACATGATGAAAACGTCTAGAATATCATCACAGAGACATGAAGTCAGCACAGGCTGTTGGGAAGTGGTAACAGGAGGCTTGCTCGGCACATGGTGCCACAAACCTTCGATTTGAAAAAGAAAACTTTTAGATTTCCTAGAGTCAGGGGACCCGGGTCGGTGAGTGTGGAATCCCCATTACCAGATTACCGTCCTCCTTTATATTCCCGGCTCAAGCTTTGGTTTTCCTGTTTGTAATTTAGGCCTTCCCCCTGGGCCACGCCCATAGACTCCGCCCACCTCCCATCCATTTCCGGTCTCACACGTGGAACAAGGAGAGGATCCCTGTAGGCGACTCCACTCCACAAAGGACCTGTTTTGGAAGTGCGGATGGCCACTGTGCATCTGTTCCCAATGTGCCCAGAGCTCCGTGTCCACTCCTGTCCCTCGGCCTGAATCCGCGGAGCTCCGGGTCCTGTCGGGGACCTGCTCTTAGACTTCCCGAAGGTGGAGCGTTAGAATGGGTACAGTGATCATTGAAGATGTGGCTGTGGTCTTCACCCACGAAGAGTGGGATTTGCTGGATCCTGCTGAGAAGAAACTCTACAGAGACATGATGATGGAAACTTTGAGAAACCTGGCTTCAGTCAGTGCAGTCATGGGATCATATGGCTGGAAGGATCACCTGGACAATCAGGGGAGACAATTGAGAAACTAGTGCAATGGAGAACCTGGGTGAACGTTCTGAAGGCAACCAGAGTGGAGAAACCTCCAGCCCGATTCCTGGTCTTTCTGTGCACCAAATAGATCCCACAGAAGTAGATCCTTTTGAATGCTGTGAGTATGGAGAAGCCTTCCTGGATCATTCCCTAGAGAACAATCGTAGTAGAGCTCACAGTAGAAGCAGTATCTGTCAGTGTCCGGACTGTGGAGAAGACTGCAGATGTCCTTCTCACCTGACCACTCCAGTGAGCACTCATAATGGGAAAAATACCCATAAATGTAAGATATGTGGGAAAGGCTTCCTTTGTATGTTGACCCTCAAGAATCCTGTCTCAGCAATCACCAGTATTGAAGGGTATGAATTCACCAAGTGGATGGCAATTTTCTGTAGTTTCTCACCAGTTAGGACACCTTTGGAAGGTCATCAATCCAAATGTAAAGAATGCTTTAGAATGCATACTAGTCCTTCATCTCTCATTTTAAACAATATCTCTCATAAGAGAGAGAATCCTTCTGAATGTAAGAAAGCAGTTCTTAAGGCTTTCTCCCTCACTCAACAGGTAAGCAGTCACAGTAGAGAGAGATGCCTTATGAATGTAAAGAGTGTGGGAAAACTTTTAGAGATTCCTCAGACCTGAGTGCACATAGAAGAATCCACAGTGGAGAGAGGCCCTATGAATATACCGAGTGTGGGAAAGCCTCTGGTGAGGCGTCACTCCTCCCTGGAGATATAGGAACTCACAGCAGACAGAGGCCTTTTGAATGTAAAGAGTGTGGGAAAGCCTTTAGGGATTCCTCACAGCACAGTGGACATTGCAAACTCACAGTGGAGACAGGCTCTATGAATGTAATCAATGTGGGGAAGCCTTTAGCCGTGCCTACAGGCTCACAAGACATAAAATAGTCCACGGTGCACAGAGGCCTTATGAATGTAAGGAGTGTGGGAACACTTTTAGGGATTCATCAGGCCTGACTGCACATAGAAGAATACACACCGGAGAGAAGCCTTATGAATGTAAGCAATGTGAGAAAGCCTTCAGAGTGTGCTCAAAGTGCAGTAGACACATGCAGACCCACAGTGGAGACAGTCCCTATGAATGTAAGGAATGTGGGAATACCTATATCTATGACTCAAACCTCCCACAACATAGAAGAATCCACAGTGGAGAGAGGCCCTATATGTGTAAAGAATGTGGAAAAGTCTTTATTTCTTCCACAGTCCTCACTGCACATATGTGAATTCATAGTGGAGAGAAGCCCTATGAATGTAAGGAGTGTGGGAAATCCTTTACTCAATGGTCAAACCTCACAAGACATAGAAGAATCCACAGTGGAGAGAGGCCCTATGAATGTAAGGAATGTGGGAAAGCCTTTCGCCAAACATCAACCCTCACAAAACATAGAAGAATCCACAGTGGAGAGAGGCCCTATGAATGTAAGGAGTGTGGGAAAGCCTTTACTCAATTCTCAAACCTCACAAAACATAGAAGAATCCACAGTGGAGAGAGGGCCTATGAATGTAAGGAGTGTGGGAAATCCTTTACTCAATTCTCAAACCTCACAAAACATAGAAGAATCCACAGTGGAGAGAGGGCCTATGAATGTAAGGAGTGTGGTAAATCATTTACTCAATGGCCAAGCCTCACAACACATAGAAGAATCCACAGTGGAGAGAGGCCCTATGAATGT